GTAATAGCCTACATTTTTCTTGACTGTCTTACTTTTTGGGGTGCTTTGTCCTCCTTTGCAGTTATGATATCTGATCACACAGTCTAGATTAGAGAGTGGAATATATATTAACTACTACTTTATATCTTGTTTTCATATTTGTAGGTTCACTCAACCCTCATGGATCTTTAGAGTAATGGTGGATAATTTCATCATGCTGGGGCAGGGGAAAGTGTAGAGCAGGGGTAGGCAACCTTTTTGATCCTGGGGCCAGTCCCGCGAAGTCATATCTGCCGCTGGGCCGAGGGGGGGGGAATGGCAGCACGCATGCACCCCCCCACCGTGCACGACCCCTCCATGCACGCTGCCGCCGCCACCACCACCACTGCCACTGCTGCTACCGCCGCCGCTGCGCAGCCGCCACCGCCATTTTGATTTTCAAAATGGCGACCGCAACTCGTTTGTGCATGCGCAGTACTCCTGCGCATGTGCAAATGTGTCACAGCCGCCATTTTGAAAATCAAAATGGCGGCCACAGCGCACGGTGGTGTGCAGCGGCGGCTGTGGCGGCGACCTTCCACCTGGGCCAGTAAGTACGGGGACCTAGGCCTTAACCAGCCTGCAGGCCATAGGTTGCCGGTCCCTGGTGTAGAGGGACCCAATGGTGTCACTATGAGCATGTTGCCCACTCTGGCTTTACAAGATTTTTGCTTCATTCCAAGGAAAGGAACTCATTTTGGAAAAATCAGAACAAATCACCATCAAGATTACACGACAGAAGATTTACAATGTTGTGATAGTAAGCCCACTAGCATAAAGCATTTCTCTTCTTGCAGGGAGAGGAAATCAGTAAAAATGACATTACTGTATTAACAGTGCATGATCATCTTTAGTCTACTCCAGACCAGACCCATAGACACAACAGTTATTACTGTTTCTGAAAGACAATTTCTGAGAACTTCCCTTTTGCCGCTTCAGTGGACTTAAGAAAAAAATATTTGGATCAGCTCTGGCCTCTGCATTTCCAGTTGCTCACAGATATTATTTTGATTTCATGATTCTGTATCTCATTCTTTAATGAGGAAGAAACATGTTGTTGCGACTGATCTGCACTGATGA